AGAATATGGACGAAGTCCATCCAAATAGTCCCCGATATGCAAAAAGCCCTTATTGATCCACCAGTGAAACACAGATGGTGTTAAACCAGGTGTGAATTCAGGATTACAAAAAACTGGGGCCAGAGGGGTATGTAGGGAAAATAAAGGCTTGCGGGCCCGCCATCTATCCCAGATTGTTAAAGAATATAATAATGTAGGGCAAAGGATGGGAGGACGCAACCGACTGGGAAGCCACATAAGGGAGCCAACAGCATATGGATGGTAAGATAAGGCAACCCCATTGAGGTACATAGCCCCTAGCAGTAGTGCAGGAGAGCTGCGTTATCTGAGCCGCATGAAAGTAAGTCATAAGATTAGGAAGTCCCAAACCGCCATGCTTGTTCTGAGAAAACGAAGTCGAATCATTGAGCCGAGGACGTTCACCTCCCCATATAAATCTAGAGACCGCAGATTGTAAGAGTAAGATTTCCCATCCGGGGACCGCAATTGGTCCAAAAATAATATAGCAGTCTTGGCAGAAAAGTAATTTTAATGGAATTGATTGTACCAAACCTGAAAAAAGGGAGATCAATTATGTAAATCGGTCCTGAGTTGTTTAAAAAGGTAGTATAGCGTTAAAATAGAGCTCAAGAGATAGATCCCCAAATAGGGAAGAGAGCGGGGAGCCCATTGAAAATCAAAATTATCCCAAAGATACTGAACCTCCGAAGTGGGCAAAGAAATATTTAAAGCAATTGTTTTAGAGGAAATCAGAGTAAAACCCGGGGCCATAGAAAATCGGTGAAGTAAATGGAGGAGACTAGGTAAAGACACTCGAGGAGCAGACACATACATAAGGACATAATCAGCAAATAAGGCACATTTATGATCTCGTTGGCCATAGTAGATATCAGAAATAGCAGGGTCAGAACGAATAACAATGGTAAGGGGTTCCATTGCTAATGCAAAGGGGTAAGGGGCAACCCTGTCTAGTACCTCTCCCAATAGACAGAGGAGCCGATTTGTATCCACGAATAGAGACCTGGGCTCTCATAAATAATTAAAATAATGGACCATATGTGGAATCAAAAGGTCAGGGAAAGCTTTATAATAAGCATGAGGAAGGCCGTCTGGACCTGGGGATTTATGTGGAGCTAAGGTTTTTAAGGCATTCTGAATCTCCTCGCAAGTGATAGGCTGATCCATTAATTCTCTCTGGGCCTCCTGAAGAGAAGAAAGAGTCACAGAACTCAGGAAACTGTTGGTAGATGAGGAGATGTCCCCTTGAGGTCAGTCTGATTTTCGGAAGAGCCACATGAGAATGTTTAGGAGACAGCTTGCATGCTAATAAGGTGCCTGGTCTGTCCCTCCAAGTGAAAAATTTGTGATTGGCCCAATGTAACTGTTTATCTGCCATAGTAGTAAGGCACAAATTAAGCTCCAATCAGGCCTAGTCAACTTTAACCAATAGAGCAGGATCAGGTATCTGTTTATGTTGGGCAACAAGATCAGTATACACTTGAGATTTAGTAAAAATCCATTCGTTTCAAGCCTTTTTAAGTCGTGAAGACAGTTGAATAAGGAAACCCCTGACTGAGGCTTTATGAGCTGCCCAATTAATAGCCGGAGGCGTGTCATCCGCCTTATTCATTTCAAAGTACAATTTCAAATGTGTGGAGATATCAAGACAATAAGAAGCGTTACCTAAGAGAGATTCGTTAAGGCACCAATGAGGAACAGTCCTTCCAAGACGAAAGCGTTAAAAGAACTGGGTCATGGTCGGAACAAGGTGTAGAAAGAATTTTAACTGTAATCAGTTGAGAAAGTGAACGCGTATGGAGAAATATATGATCAATGTGGGAATAACAGTTATGAGCCCTGGAGAAATGAGAGTAGTCTCGAGAAGTTGGGTTAGCCTCTCTCCAGGCATCGACAAGATCATAGCGATATAAGAGCTGAGCAAACTTACATCTCTGTCTAGAAGGTGATTTAAGCATGATAGTATGGGATCGATCCAGTAGCTAATCTAATGCTAGGTTAGAGTCACCAGCCAAAATAACATCGCCCTCAAGCTCTGAGGCCAAAGAGCTCAATAAAGAATGAAAGAACTCCACCTGATTGATATTTGGAGCATAGTATGCCAAAAAAGTGAGCAAGTTTCCGCCCAATTTACCTTTCACCAGATCCCTAATAATTTTAGACTCAGTAAACGACAAGCGGCAGGACAAACAAAGGGCTACCCCACATTTCTTCTCCGTGGTATTAGCAAAATAACAGAGGATAATCTTTGTGGACATATCGTGGGGTAAAACAAGGGGGAAAATGTGTCTCCTGAAGGGCTACGATATCCGCACCTAAAGAGCGGTATGATTTAAAGGCCTTAATACGTTTGGAAGGAGAGTTGAACTCCTGGACAATATGAAAGAGCAATCAGATAACCCTTCTGTCAGACTGTTGAGGAGACATGATCAATAACTGGCGAACTACTGTATAGTCGGCGAAAGCTCTCCACTCCCAGTGCACGAGAGAAATCATTATTAACCAAAAGCAAGGACGGCTGACCCTCAGATAGAAAAAGAGAAAGAATACATAGAAAAAGAAGACACACAGAGTATTCAAACCGTCGTGTCAAGCAACGTCTGGTATTACACATTATAACACAAGCAAAGCAGAAGAATAAACCAGGATTGTAAGGACTAAAGCCCTGAAAAGGAAGGGGTCTACCCAGAGAACTTAGACAGGGGAGAGTCTTCCAAGTCTGGGAGGGCCCATAGACACCCCCCCCAGCACAAAAAATTAAATCAGCATAATGTAAACTTTAATATAACCGGAACCCCACAAAAACCAATAGCAGCAGAAATAAAGATCACATTGGTACAAACAGCCATATAAACATTTTTTTTTTCCTTGAAACAGCCTAACAGTGGCGGCTAATGTTCCCTTGGGAACCACTGAGAAGCCAGCACATAAAAATAGGAAAAAATGATGAAGCCCGAAAGTCAAAAAGAAAAACCTCAAGTAGTCTTTCGATGCGATTTCATCTTCCTGGAAGTTGAAGCAGACCACAATGGCGAAAACGGCAGACGGAGAAGTAGCTCCTGATGGAGAATGAGATGAAGGACTATGGGAAATGATATCCAATTGAAGCAGCAGTTCTTCACCTTCTTGAAATGTAGAGAACACATAAGGTTTTCCATTGTATGTAAACTGAAGCAGGAAAGGGTAGGCCCACCGATAGCAGATATCCCGCCATACCAAGTGGGAAAGTAATGGCTCGAGGGATCTCTGTTTCTGGATGGTGGTCGGAGAAACATCCGCAAAGATTTGTATTTTATGTTCCGCGAGTTCCGGCTCCGGAGTTTCTCTACCATATTTCATGACAGCTTCCTTGACCCGGAAAAAATTAGGTTTGACAATAACATTTCTAGGACGCGCCCCCCCCCCCCGGTCTAGCGGGGGATCAGTGCCCTATGAATATGATCAATCTCTGTATGGAGATCATCAATTTCAGGCATCGCGGGTCGCATGAGGGATTGAGCAAGGCTAGTAAGCTCTTTGACCAATTCCGGGAGCCCCAGAATATGGAAATTGTAACGTCTGGCCTGGTTCTCTAGATTATCAATTTTAGACTAAGCCTCATCCAATCGATCCTGCAAATCGGTAATCATATTAGAGTTTTGGGACACGTTATGGACTGTCGCATCAACTTTAGATTCAATACTATCAAGATGTTGGCCCAATTCTTGAAAATCATGTTTCAGATCTGTCGCCAATGTAGTAGTAGCTCTATCCATTTCTCGTTGCAACAGGTCAGCAAAACGAGCAATAAGGGTCGCATCCCCCGAATACTGTGATGGAGCTGGAGGGAGTGTTGACGAATTCTCAGGGCTATCAAGATCAGGTTCCATACCACTGCTTTGGCTTAGAAATATAGCAGCCATCTCATTATCCAATAGTGAGGAAGCTTGAGAGTCACGGCCTAGTGAGCAGGCCGAGGCCTGGGACACAGATACAACAGAGCTAGGAGGAGACCGGGGAGGCTGTATAGGGTCACTCACCCCTGCAGAAGAAGCCACCGTGTCTTGATCCCGGCGTGCAGCTGTTTCAGAGCCAGATTTAGCTCTCTGAGGGAGAGAAGCAGTTGTCGGAGAGGCAGTGGAGGCTGCAGGAGTCGAGCCGGATGCCATCGTGGAACCCGTGCCCACCACAGGCATTAGGTGCTGGGAGCCGCTGGGGCCCCTCTCTGCTACACGTCCTGGCATGGGGAGAAAGCTCTGGGACACCCGGTCCACTCCAGAGGCAAGTTGGGGTCCCTGCGGGGTTTGGTGCCCGTCTACGGACTCTGGATGTGCCGGGGGAGTGCAGAGCGGTTACCGGGACATGTGTGCCGGCTGCCCGTGCATGCTCACCTTTGAACTAGTTTTAAACACAAACAAATTAAATATAGTTCACCACAAACCAAAAGCAAAAAAAGCAAATATACAAAAAATCCTACGAAATAAATAGAGCATACCTAAAAAGCCATCATAGCAACATAAGTAGCCTAATAACACCAACCAGCTTTGCATTTGGGCTCCAATTTTAATAACATGAACCACATGATTATACCTACAGGAGCCTAAATCCTAACATCATACGGAGCTCATATGGTCTAGCCAAGGTGATCAAATTGCATCAAACTGCTTTAATGAGTTTCTAAGGAAATAAGTGTGTCACTCATAAGAAACATACTTAAGATCAAATATCCAGTCAGATAGGGCCAGAGGGTGCGAAAATCCACTTCATGGCAATTTGCCTTTGAGCCACAAACAGTGCACATGCAACAGTAATCCGCACTGGTGGCTTAAAGTGTTACTAAACCCAGGACCCTACATTCACTATATCCGGTCTCCCACAGTACACAGAACATGGAAGTGCAAAAACTGCTAAATACCTTTTCTCATCAGCAGTTTGAGCAGTCTTGTGACTTCTATCATTTTCCAGCAGAGCACTGGTTAAAGCTTGTAGGAGGAGTTTTCTTTCTGCTCTAAGAGGATGCAAAACCCCTGACCCTTTGTCTGGACAGTGCTGATTTGGCCCTGTGCTGACCAAGAAAAAAAAAAAAAAACCTCTCTAGCAATACACACCAAACTGAGCATGTGCACATGGCTACGGGTTCAGTCTGTCTTATCAGGAGATAAGACGTAGACATTTGAACAGAAAGAGGGGTAAAGAAAAGAGGATCAAACAGCCTTTTTGCACAATGCAAAGGATTAACACCTTAGGGTTCCCCAGTGAGTATAAAAAGCATACTTTACTGCATATACAGACTGATTTTACTGTTGTGGATTTAGTAACACTTTAAGCATGGGGTAGCCCAATAAGCATGTAAGTAGATTCACTGAAAGATTTACATCTAAAAGCCCATTAAGTGTGCCCACAACCTCTGCCCAATACTTCTGCAGTTTGGTGCAACGCCATAGTAAATATATCCGGGAACTTTGAATTATCGCATCTAGGATAGGCCGAATCAGGCCTATAACACACAGAAATTCAGGGGTCTCATATACCCCTTGTAGGATAAATATCTTGGTTAGCCTATGTGAAGGGGGGAGAGTGACACAAGAGGAAGAGCTTGAAGAATCTCTTCCCAAACATTACTCCAGATAGGCCCTATATTGTATTTCCACTTTGCCCTAGAAGGCAAAGGGAATTTATAAATGGAGTTCTCTAAGAGAGCTGAATAGATAGCTGAGATAAGCTCTTTGGTGGAAATCGCCTGTACTACTCTCTCCAATACTGGGACAGAGGAAAACAAAACTGGGGAGGAAGAAAATTGAACATATAAGGTGTGACATAGCTGAAAATATTGGTAGAACCACCTAGGGTTCAAAAAAAATATCCTTATCAACTGCTCAAATGATTTAAGTGGGCTGTTGTCCTATAGCTGTGCAAGCTTATGGACTCCTGCCCGCTCCCACCCCTGGAAACTCTGCAGGCTGAATAACTCTGGGAGCCTGTATTTCCCCCATATAGGGGAATATTTAGTGAGGCAAGAAACCCCCAAAAGTTTAACAACGTCCCATACTTTGAGCATCAACTCACAGGTGAGCATGTTGGTAAGAACAGAGCTCCCCAATAACCCATCCAGGGCGTACAGAGGTTGACATCCTTGAAACACATAAGAAATTAAGTGGAACGAGGTGCTAACCGTAGCCTCAGAATCCAGCTGCACCAAATGCTGCAACAGGGCTGCAAGAAAATAGATTAGGAGCCACTAATCCCCCAGCCTCTTTTGGATATTGTAATATTTCTGGTTTGATATGAGAAACCTTGTTCTGCCAAATTGTTTCTAAATGTACCATAAACATACTTTCAGAGGAATCCAGACTGGGGAATTATGTAAAAGACATTAAATATTGTGGCATCCATATCATTTTTATTGCATTTATGCGGCTTATAACCAAAAGGGGGGAGCTTACACCAAGCCTTACTTTGAATTTGAAACCTTGTCAACAATGATACAATATTATCTAATATACACTATTACACTATATTGCCAAAAGTATTGGGACACCCCGCCAAATCATTGGATTCAGGTGTTCCAATGACTTCCATGGCCTCCGGTGTATAATATCAAGCATCTAGGCATGCAGACTGCTTCTACAAATATTTGTGAAAGAATGGGTCACTCTCAGGAGTTCAGTGAATTCAAGTGTGGTGCCATGATAGGTTGCCACCTGTGCAATAAGTCCATCCATGAAATTTCCTACTAAATATTCCACGGTCAACTGCTAATGGTATTATAACAAAGTGGAAGCAACTGGGAAGAAAAGCAACTCAGCCACAAAGTGGCAAGCCACCTAAAATGACAGAGCGGGGTCAGCGCATGCTGAAGTGCACAGTGCGCAGAAGTTGTCAACTGTCTGCAGAGTCAACAGCTAAAGATGTCCAAACTTCATGTGGCCTCCCAGTTGGCACAACAGAAGTGCGTAGAGAGCTTCATAGAATGGGTTTTCAATGCTGAGCAGCTGCATCCAAACCTTACATAACCAAGTGCAATGCAAAGCATTGGATGCAGTGGCGTAAAGCATGCCACCACTGGACTCTAGAGCAGTGGAGACATGTGTAGCAAACTTGCTCATCAGAGATGGACGCGGAGTTCCCCTTTTTTATTAGAAGTATTCCTCAATCCTTTATTCCCTACCCCCTCCCTTCCTGAGAGGCACAGGGACAGATGTGGGTGTGTGTTAAAAATTGCTGGCAGGCTGGAGCAGCAGGGGGCCCAGCGCTACAAAGCTCCCCATAGAGACAGCAGACTCTCTGTCCCAAGGCCTGTGTAAACTCTCACCTCCTAACCAAGATAAGGTAGTTTTTGCCCTGGACTTAAAAGAAGTTGGAACCTCATAAACCCTACCAGCCAGGTGACAGAAGTTAAATGAACATTCCTCAGGTCAGCTGTCACCTATGTTTCATATCATGGATTATGAAGCTGTCAGTTTTAATGCAGAGTCCATCCGACGATCCCGCCCAAAACAGGGTATTGGCCAGTAGTCAGAGCCACGCCCCCTGCAGGGGGACTTTAAAAGACATGCTAGCAAGCCTAAAAAGTTAAGCTAAACACATCTCCCAATTTTAACATCGTAACAGCAAGAGATCAAAGACCATTCAGCTCTGCAACTTGGATCTGCTTACCTTAAGGCTGAACATGGCAAGTAACTTAACCTTTTAACTTCTCCCTGTTATCTCTTTACTGTACTGTGCTGTTTTCTATGTGTGTATATATATATATATCTTAGTTACTTTTTTTGTAAATATTTTATTGCACCTGTTTGACTCTTTTAGCAATAAATCTTTCTTCCTGAAAGTGTTAAACTGCTTCTAAGTGCTTACTTGCAATTCACGAATTCCTGCTTTTGAAGAGACGCTACTGTGTTTGTTTAATCCTCTGCCCAATCGGCCTGCGGTGACCGTATTGGACAGGCGACTTTTCAATCATTATAGTGTATATTTGATAAGGAGAGTTTCCTTTTTCTCTGTACAAAAGAAGGTGGTGGCAGTGTGAAAGGGTTAGTTGCGTAATTAACCTGACCCAGTAACAAGCGCATTCAGACTGCAGGCACCGATTGTAGTCCATTAGCTGGAAAATCGCTGTGTAGGGTGCAGCTGGGTGTGGCCTTGTTACGCACGTCACACCGTGGTTTTAGATTGGCTGGTCCTTCGGTCACGAGTTTGGTGAGAAAGTCTGACGCAGCGGGCGTGACATATTGTTGGTCGCGCTTGTGTGGTTGTTGCACGTTGAGGGTGGCGATCGTGCGTCCGTGACAACATGTTCTCTGGAGTGACGAATCACACTTCTCTGTCTGGCAATCTGATGGAGGTGTATGGGTTTGGCGGTTGCCAGATGAATTGTACTTGCCTCACTGCATTGTACCAAGTGTAAAGTTTGGTGGAGGGGGGATTATGGTATGGGGTTAGGCTTGGCCCCTTAGTTCCAGTGGAGAAAACTCTTAAGGCATCAGCAAGACATGGTCAAACATTCTCAAAGACACACTCCTGAACCTTGCGGACAGCCGTCCCAGAAGAGTTGAAGCTGTTATAACTGGAAAGGGTGGGCCAACTCAATATTGAACCATACAGACTAAGACTGGAATGCCATTAAAGTTCATGTGCGTGTAAAACCCAGGCATCCCAATACTTTTGGCAATATAGTGTATATGTCCACAGAGAGGCTGTCATAGACACACCCAGATATGAGAGAGGAAACTATTTTAAGATGCGCCAATGTAGATGGTAAAACTATGGGTAAGGGGTCCAGTGGCAAGAGCATAGACTTCTCCCAGCTAACCCTGAGAATCTAGCAAACTCATCTATGTATTGCATAACAGTTGGCAGAGATGACCAAAAATTAGATAAAAATAAAAGATCATCTGCGTACAATGTTACCTTTTCTTCCAAATTTCCTCTGATCAAACCAACTACATCCTGAGCAGCCCGTAAAAGACAAGCCAAGGGTTCAATAGCAATGGCAAAAAGCAGAGGGGACAAACTGTACCCCTGCCTAGTGCCACAGAAAAGCTTAAAAGGAGAAGACTACAGGCCATTGACCCTTATGGAAGCCTTAGGGGCTGCATACAATAGTTAAACCCATTAACAAAAAGTAGGACCAAAACCAAATTTTTCTAGAACAGCCCATAGATATGGCCATTCTGTGCTGTCAAAGGCTTTAATGGCATAAGTAGACAGCTCATTTGGGGACCCAAACAATTTTTTACCACTATTTGGTTCTTGGCAGTCTATTTCTTTGTGGAGGAATTTGTCACTAAATGATCCACTCCTGTGTCTCACAATAAAAAATTTTGACCATTCCCATAAAAAATGCTACTTTCTTTTAGGGACCCTACTCACAAGAAATTGAAAGAAATTTCACTCATGTTCACCTCAGCACTCATTTTCCAAACCTTGGCTGACTGGTCTGCTACTGACTAATTTTTTTCATTGCGTTGACAAAATGATTGCAATTTATATTTTTTTGTGCAACATGTAGCTGGATGCCAACAGGGTTATGTCTCTTTAACGTTGGATGGACCTCTTTCCATCCATTCATAGATGGTTGCCCCAGAGAATTATAATTTCCCCAGCCCAAAGGTTTCATGGTTTTTACTCACATGTTTACAGTTTGACCCATCTTGGACTTTATGCCTGTGGTCCAAACACCATTAGAATGGACAATAGGGGATGGGAGGCCACAAAAAGGTATGGATGCCAAAGGTCTAATCCACTGAAGTTCACTATTGGCAGAAACCTCAACTGCTAGGCGCACATGCAGTCTGATAGGCAGAGAACTGAGGAGTAAGACCATAGGAGAAGTCACCATGGCAAAGCAGACTGAACAGCAGCTGGCAGGAACACTGGAACACACAACAGGTGGGAAGTGTGGTCTGAGACAAGGTAATGGTTAGAAACCGAGAAGGCAGACCGTAGGCAAGGCAAAAGGCAGAGTTATGGTCAGGAGGGGGCTGAGGTCACATCAGGAGGTAAGCATAATCCTGGTCAGCAGGCAGGTGGAGGTCACACCAGGGAGTCAGCAGAGATGAACCCCAGTCAGGATCCAGCCAAGTCAGGAAGATCAGACGAGGTCACAACAGGAAGTTAGGGTGGCCATACATTATACAACTCTCTTGTACAATTTTCTTTTAGTTTTACCAAAACCATACAATATAAGGTCAAACCTAAACACTTTCAATGTGTATGAAATCAGACAGGCCCTTGCACTACACAATGTAAGGCAAGTCTAAAGGAAATTGAATAAGAAAATTGTATAATGTATGGCCAGCCTTAGAGCAAAGATGG